ACCTATTGGTAGCAGAGGAATCTTTGTCCGCGTGAACTTCTCGCCATGTCACTCGAGTCACGATTAGAGTGGCATGTTATTTGCCAATGTAGTAAAAGGAAAGAGAGTAGACTTGAGTAGGACAGAGTAGACCACCATCATATATCACGCTCCCTAATGCTCCCCTCCTTATTATTCTGCTTAAAATGTTAACAGAAGCCAGGACCACCTATTTACACTGTCGCAAAAACATAGCGTTATGTGAAAGTGTGGTTTGCTGCAACCGCGTGCCTCGAGGAAATTATCCTGCTAGCACAATCAGTTGGATAAAAGGAAAAAGGTTGGAGATATTTACAGATCCCCATGTCCCTAAGCTGCAGCAGAAATCGTTTTAACGTTCCATAAATGCTTCCAGTCAGCCTTTGTTTAGCAACAAGTAAATGCATTGCAACATCGGGATGTTTTGAATTTAACGCTGTTTTATTTCCTTATATGTTCTAATCACAGCTTTCTTTCTACTCACAGAGTTATTAACAATCGACAAAGAATAATTCTAGTACTTTAAACTTCGTCACATTAAGCGTGCGAAAATGTCGTTTAGCAGCAGAGTGAGTATTTATTGGTAAGAATGTTAAAAAAGCAGCTTGCAAACAATTAACAGGCAATAGCTTTATCATTTTGTTTTGATTTTTTGCCTTGACCTACATACACTGTCCCAAATACCGCGCATTTAAAGTAGGCTGGACTACGTCTGCTAATTTCGACCATTCCTTTTTCATGTGCTGTCAGCACGCAAATACAGGTATTACAATAAACCCAAATAAGGCAGAACGTCATTGCTTTTCCAAGAGAAATCACAGTCTCTTTACCAGACGATGATAATTACTAGCGACGACATGGGAGACAAGAGATTTAGGCCAATAATTCAACGCCCAATATTACCAAAAAGGTACCAAAGAGAAATCCAATTATCGTACCCTGTGAGAGTCGCTACACTTGCATACAAAGCGTCGAGCTAATGCTTTCATCCTCATGGCTGCCGTCAAGCATCAAATGAACGTAATAACAGAAAAAATCAGTCATCAACCACTACGTTTTACTGTTACAATATGTATGACCATTGGCGCATTTTCTCCCATTTGATCACGTATATGCGACACACGAGCTCAGGTAATAAGATCGTGTCAAGGGAACGATGTTGGAAGTGGGAAATCAAGTGTAAAAAGAGGTGGAAAATAAAAATTTTTCCCTTTCTACGCCTAGCCATGTATTCTCCGATCTAGAAGCCCGAAACACGAAGAAGCCTGTCAGTGCGGCTGAGTCTTTCAAATTCAGCATTTGCAGTAGCTTTTCAGAAATCAAGAATTTTCGCATTCACAAGCGAATGGTCAGTGGTCAAATTCGGCGGATGTGAGGATGTAGCTGGCTATTTGTGAGCGTTGGTTTGTTTCACTGTAGCCGGTTTACCCCACTGATCGCTTAGAGCTAGCGATGGATTTGTACCGTGGACATATTGAGCTGGCGAGGAAGTATGTCAGACTTAGCGAGGAGATAAAACGCTTAAATAAGCTGTGGGACGATAGGGTGACACAAATCGCCTCGGAGAAGGGCATTCGTCCCTGGCAGGTTGACAGCTGCAAGGAAGGCATCAGGGAGTACTGCGACTCCTACGTCATTGTGGTACGGCTTCCTTCTCAAATGACGTTTCAATTCACTTTACCTGTTGTCAACAGGAA